CCTTTAGTTAAGTTGACTATTTGGGCAAATGTTAACTGATGACCTGTTCACTGTGGGACCCATCAATTCCTTAAAAAAATTAATAAGTCAATTATATAATATTATAAAATAACATTTTTTAAAAACTTATACATAATAAAAACCTTCCTCTCTCCCTCTCTCTGTGCATCTTCATATTTTTTATGTTACTTTTCGTCTTTTAATTCTCTAAATTGGTTTTTGGGTTTGTCAAAAACTAGCCTAAAAACAATTAACCAACACAAAAAATAAAAGGCTTATTATCACAAAACGTCCCTGAGGTTTGCAAAACTATCAGATTGCGTCCTTGCCGTCAGATTCTGTCAAAAAGTCTGTTAAGTTGATGATGTGGCACATATGTGGGTCCCACATATCTAAAAATATGACGCCATGTGGATTAAATAAAAACTACATTTTAAAAAATAATTTCAAATTATAAACCATTAAAAAAAACTTTAAAAAATTATAAACCAAAAAAAAAAAAAAAATCACCACCTCCTCCATTGCACCAAATCCCCACATCCTTTATCCAAAAAAAAAAGCCCCTCATATCCAGCCTCTTCCATGTCCCAACCTGCTATCCCTAATCAACAGCCAACCCAAACCCTGATATGCTAGGAACCTCACCCACTACCTGTCTAATCTCCACCACCAAAGACCAAAATTGGATGGTGGTTAGTGAAGGCCAAATGAGTGGGTTGGGTGGGCTTAGTGGTTGCTTGGAGGGGAGGGGGGGTGGAGTTTAGGTTGGTTGCTGTCAAATAAAGAGAGCATGGAAGAGAGACAAAAAGGGAGTGAAAAGGAGGAAGGCAAGACAGTGGTGCAGAGGGTGGGAGAGAATAGGTGCGGCTGTTGGAGGTGTGAGAGGGAGAGAAAGAGGAGATGTGGGTGGGAGGGAGGAGAAAAAGGGGGAAGGGAGAATGGTGGGGGTTGGAGTTTAGGGGTTTTTCTTGGGGAGGTTTTGCATACATTGATTTAATTAAATATTGTAAATACTATATTATGCTTGATAATATTATTTGATTATTAATATGCTTAGTTATATTGTTTGATTGCTTGATATTGGATGTATACGTGTTGTCAATTATCATTATAATTTGATTAATTTTGACATATTCATATGTTGTCGGTGGTGGTTGGAATTTTTGGGTTGATAAAGAAATTATGGAAAAGAGGATAATAGGAAGTATCTTTTGTGTAGTTGAGTCTAACCATTGTAGGGACCAAGTTCAGGCGAGCCCGTGTGCACAGTAGATTAGGAAATCGACAGTATAATTGTCGATTGGGTGATTTGGGCTTCGAGATCAATGGTGTAGACAAGATGACTAGCAAAATGGGAATTATAGGATAATTGAAATGAGTGTTAGTTTATATAATGGGGCATTCGGAATCACAGTGGTAAAATGCATGGTATGGGACATGCAGATTTGCTTGCCTTATTATATAGATTAACGGGTTGGGTAGAATTGAAGTTCATTCATGCATTGTATAAATTGTACATTATAAATCTCACTAATCACATAAAACATAGGACCCCTACTGAGCATGTAATGCTCACCCCTTATTGAATCTATTGCAGGCTTTGAAACTGAAGTGTAGTTTTTGGTAAGGACAAGAAGAACGGATTATGGATAGTTTTGAGTGTTTTGTTGAAAGTTTGTTACTTTCTTGTTATTTTGCTTGTAATAATACAATGTAAATTACTTTGACTTAAATGGAAGTTTACGTTCAATCTTCATGTTTCTTGATAATTAAATTTTTAGTTTTAGTTTTTCTTTTACCTCACATTCCCAAATAATAATAATAATAATAATTGGGGTGTGACAAGAAGAGAAGGTTTGGTGGTGGGGTTGGTGACGACTGTGCAATGGAGAAGATGATGGTGATTTTTTTTTTTTTTTTTGTTTTAATATGTTTTCTTTTCTTTTAAGTTTTTTTAATTTTTTTTATAAGTTTCAAATGTTTATTTTATTTAATCTACGTGACGTCATATTATTGGATATGTGAGATCCACATATGTGCCACATCATCAACTTAACAGGCTTTTTGACAGAATATGACGGCAAAGACCATTTGTAAGGACACTTATTGACCTTAAGGACCATAAATGACAACAACAACCAAAAAAAAAACAAACAAAACATAAAGTGCACAATCTAAAGTTTCGCAAACCTCATGACATTTTGTGATAATAAGCCAAAACAAAATCAAAAAGGGCAATGTTGTTCCCAGTTTTAATTTGTGGTCTTGCATTGTTTTAGAAATTTGTGGGTGCTTCAAAAGCCATAAAAATAATGAATTTAAAGTGCATAGCAACTGAGAATAAAAATAAGAAAAGCAAAGCTATAAGGAGAACAAGGAATTCTTCCATTTCATCTCAAATCAATATATAGCTCCCTTGAAGAAAAAAAAAAACCCACACCAAATGATCGAAAAGCCACAAACGTTAACTAAGCGCCCCACAAAAGTACTTAATTAAATCAACAAAACTAATTAATTAATTAACAACTCTCTGATTCAACTGATCTGAGGCCTCATGGCTACTTTCTTTGCTCTCACTACGGTGCACTTAATGATAATGGCTGCTTTCTCCCTTCCTAGCCTCACTCATTTACACCAGCGGGGCCTTCTCGGCAGCCTTGTCGCCCTTGCCATTTTCTTCGGCCTCCAGGTCAGAGAGGAGGTACGGATGGCTGGCTGGACATGTAGGAGGTGTGAGGGGAGATGAGTTGGGAGAGCCGGGAGGAGAAGGGGGCGGAGAGAGAGAGAGAGAGAGGGAAGGTTTTTTTATAAGTTTTTTTTTTCAATGTTATTTTATTTTATTATATAATTGATTTTTTATTTTTATTTTTAAGAAATTGATGGGTCCCACAATGGACATATCATCAATTAACGTCTAACTAAAGGAAGGCTTAAATTGGTCAAATTTGAAAACCAACAAATGTAAATTGATGAAATTAAAACTCCAGGGCCTATATTAAGAATGACCCTCTTTTGACGTTATCCCAAAAAGTTACTAGTTGCAACATTTGTTATCGGAGCTTTGTTCTTTATGAAGTTTATGGTCATTTTAACTTTGTCATTTGGTTTGGAGATCTATTCTTTTTCAAGTTTTAAATTTAGCATTGTCATTTGGTACCAAAATTGAATCTTATTGCCTGGGTTCATCATTTTCTTGAGGATTTTTGTCAAGCATCATTTGGTTTCAAAAATTTAACCTACTCAAAAATCATGATTTTTTAATTTATTTTAAACATGAATTTTTAAATACTGATTTTAAGATATAAAAAAATGGAAATTAAAATTAGAAAATTAAATACTATTTTATTTCGGTTAATGTTTATTATTACATTGCTTAAAAATAAGGTTAGAAGTACATAAAAATTTGTATTTGCAAGGGAAGAATAGGACAAAATCATAAAATTCAAATTATTTAGTGTGCCAAGTGATGTCAAACAAAATCGACTGATTGGAATGTAATGATTTGAATTTTGACTAAAAAAAGTATATTAGTTTTTCTTTTATAGGAATTACGATAAATTAGTTAACTAGATACACATTATCCGAAATGAATCCGGATTCTCTGTTTGGATTTTCTCTGTCATGATTTGCTTGACTTCATATGTCATCTCATTAAAATTTAATTCAAGGGTCTTTAAGTTGACACATCATCTTTGGAACAAAATCCAATTTTCTCATAATTAAAAAAGAAAAAAAGAACCATAATTGAAAAGTAGGAGTAATTATGGTAGAGATAATCCAAGCAGAGGATCCGAACCCATTTTAGATACAGGTAAGATTTTGTATATTTATAATGACTAGATACAATGAATAATTTGAAACCTATGTGTATGTTCCTTTCTCAATACACGGAAGTATTTGGCATTGTTAATAATCTAGTAAAGAAAATTCAATTGTATAATTTTAACTATATTCCTAAATTTGAAATCATTCCTCGAAATAGATTCAATATTACAATGTATCTAATCATTCAATTATGTTCTATTTGGTAGTTAGTTTTTCTAACCAATTTAAGGTGGTTGTTAAAACACAAACAAACTTTACTTTCTCTTTGTTTTTTTTTTAGAGAACAAAAACAAACTTTTTAAAAACTCTTTATCCAAAGTGAATCTAGGGTCCATTTGGATAAAATGATTTAAACCAAGAGCTCATTGGTGTATGACAATAAAATTAAATATAAACTATATCGACAAAATGCATTTGAACATAAAAAAATAACTATAACACGACTACACTAAAAATGAGTGAGTAACCATAACTTCTAAGTTCCGGGTAATTTAAATTCGAAATTTGAACTCTGAAGTTCAATCAAAGACCTAATTTGGGATTAAGGCTCGAATATCAAGTGCATTGCAAGAATGAAACTGGCATTCTTAAAGAATTGCTAAACCCTTCTCGTTTGGATAGTATGTGATATGGATTGATGCTTCATATAAACCAGATCCTAAAGTGGTAGAAATTGAATTGGCTTTACTTACCAAGCGTCAAGTTCACATACCTTTCAACTTTTCACTCGTTAGTACACGTAGCACTTGCTGCTTTGACTTCAATCAAGATTCAAATCAAAACTCAAAAGTTCCAATTTTTATTTTTCTTTTTCACATGATGATGCCAAACAAAGCTTACTTTAAAAGTACAACAAATTCAAGCGAAAGAAACATCTAACCCGAAAAACACACCAAAAAAATAAACACACACAAAAAAAAAAAAAAAAAAAAAAAAAAAAAAAAAAAAAAAGAGCAGTGAACAACCTAACAATCCCAGTTCGTCACCGACGTTGACTTTCCATTTTTCCACCCAAATCTGAAACCTCATTGGTCTGTTACTGTTTGCATGCTCCAATCGGTGACAGGCCAGCGCACAAAGACCGTGTTGTGTAAACTCAAAGCAAAAAAAAAAAAAATAAATAAAAAAATAAATAATAATAATAATTAAACAAAAATATTTCCAGACGAGAGAGAGTTAAAGAAGCTCTTTCGTTAAACATGCCCACAAAATTTATCTCTCTGCATATTCCTCGCATCTTTGGGAACTCGAATTCTCATCAAAGCAGAAAAACGAGGATTTAGAATTCGAATCCTCGCATTCTCGGCTTCTTAAATTCCCAAGTTTTCCTTCTCTGTTTCCGTGTTTGTGCTTCAATCAATCAGTTTTGGAGAGAGAGAGAGAGAGAGAGAGGTGGAATTGATTGAGCTCCGGTGAGTGTGGATCTGGCAGGCGAAGCCAATTGAAGCCTCAGATCAATGCTTTGTTCGGAGGCAATTTAGGTCCCGTCGTATCTATAATTCGGTTAGTTAAACCTCATTTTTTGTATATATATTTTTCAGCTCAAATTTTGAATTGACAAGATCTGAGCCCTGTCTGCGTTTGTATTATCTTTAGTTGAATTTGATTCCTTTTAGGGTTTTTACGAGGATCTTAGCTGGTTTTTGAAGTTTTTATATGATTTTGGTTGTTCTAAAGGCAAGATCTGCTTCAGTTATACTGATTTTCGACTGGTAGATGAGTTTGCTGAGGTATTTGATCGAATTGAGCTCCCATTTCCCTTCTATTTGGTTGCTAAGAAAGTGGCATAGGAAAAAGAAAAGAAATTGGGAATATATAAAGATGGTTTAATAATATGGTCTTCTTGGGGATTCGAAGGCGAATCTATTTGGATGGTCTGAAATGTGCATTTTGAGAGTTTAATCTTGTCACGTATAATTCGTTCTCAATGATTGTGTTTAGATTAGGCATACTAATAAGTCACCAAGAATGTTAATTAGTTTTTAAGAGGGCATGTAATTATTGGATGTAGTTATAAATTGTGGATTATTTTATTATTTTATTTCTGTAGATTTTGATTGTTCTGTCGAGTGTGACGGCGGGACAAATTGATGAAGAACGGGATGATAGAATGCAGTGTATGCCATTCAAAGTTGGTTTCCCCGAATACTAAAGCTTTCTCGAGGGCATATGACCGCCACAAGAGCAGGTTATCGTCCAAGCAACGTGTTCTCAATGTCCTCTTGGTCGTTGGTGATTGTATGCTAGTCGGTTTACAGGTTTGCTTTCATATATGGACTTTTTCCTTATCTTTCATCAAATTTTTTATTACAAAACAAAGTATTCAAATTCCAGTAGTGAAGTTTATTATATTTGAAATTGGGAATTTTTAAACATGTATTTGATAATTCAGTTTTCCAATATTTTCTGCATGATTTAACAAGGTTGAGCATGTTTTCTCAACTACCAAGGTCGCTACCAATGTCATTATTGTTGTTATTACTGTTGTTACTTCCATTATCTTTACCATTCCTGCCCTTAGAAACTCCTGTAACTTTTGTTGAATTTGATCTGATTTAACTTATCAATTTCATTTCTTTGTTGTGGGCTATGAAGATAGTTTAAATATCAAACATGTTAGAAAGCATATAAAGATTGGAATCAAGTTGATTGATCATATTGTAGAAGCAATAGCACTAACAACTGTTTCAAAAAGTCCTTTTGAATATTTCTTTTTACTTTGTGCGATCTTGATAAGGATTTATGAAGTAAGCTGCAAGTCGATGCTATAAATTTTTTGTGCAGTTCTTCATCCCAATTTTTTTTTCACCTGACATGGCTATTTTTTTACTTTCTCTACCAGCCTATTCTGGTTTATATGTCCAAGGTCGATGGAAAATTCGAATTTAGCCCAATTAGTGTAAACTTTTTGACAGAGGCTGCAAAGGTTCTATTTGCTGTTGTCATGCTACTGTTGCAGGTATTGTCAACATCTTTTTCCTCTCCCTTACTCAAATATGCATGACAATATTTATGCCTTTTGATTTCCACTTTTATTAAAAACAAATATGAGGTGTTTTATTAGTAAAATCTAATTCTCCAAGAGAAAGAAGATTTCAGATTAAGTTACAGTTATTCCCCAGTGCTGTTAAGTTCCAGCATCTTCTCTGGGTTTTGGTTCAAACTGGATTAAGGTCCAATATGAAGTTTACTCAAAATTTTAAACTGTGCTGTCAAAGGCATCAACTCCTGTATGGTGTGCTTAGGTTCTGAGATGAGGCTAGAAAATACCTTAATGCCATGTGAGGTGCAGTTACTTGGTTTAGCGCCCTTTTTATGCATGGTTGAGAACTTAGGAGCTCCCTCGTATTGAAGATAGTGAAATTAATTATGCCAAAATGACAAACTTGCATACACGTTTTTTTTTTTTTTTGGTAAGTTTATGATAGTTGGTAATAATGCTCGCTTTCTAGATTATACTATGGGTATTTTGTGAAGTACTTATGATTCTTTTATTTGTACTGGGCTTAATTTGTTTTTGTTCTTATTGACGTTTTCTTTAATTCTGCAGGCTAGGAATCAGAAAGTTGGGGAGAAGCCTCTTCTCTCAATTTCAACATTCGTGCAGGTTGCCTTTCCACTGACATTACAGTTGTTGCTTTTTCTAAGCTCTTGTTTTCATAACGTTTATGTCTGTTCATGATATTGTAACAAATGGAAGTTGGTCCCTCCTTTAGTTTGTTCTGCGTGGTTGCTTATTAGGAAGCATTATGTGATCCTTTAGTCTTTTTTTTCCTTTTCATTTCCTTTTCAGTATCTTGTTTTGCTCATAAGCTTGCTGACACTTTAGAGTTTATATATTTAGAAGGGAAACACGGTCGTTTGTGATCCAATAAGATTATTCTTCTCTTTTCGCAGGCGGCTAGGAACAATGTGCTTCTTGCTGTTCCAGCATTTCTTTATGCTATTAATAACTATTTAAAGTTCACCATGCAGGTAAAGTAATTTTGTAGATCCTCTTAGCATTCATCTCTGTGTTCGGTTGGCATATATGATTAAATTTGAACTTTTCAAATTATAGTATGATTGATGGGACTCATGCTATTCCTATAGAGAAGTTGTGATATGACCAAGGTTTTTAGCTCTAAGGATTCTCCCTCATGTAGTTTTTGAGCCCTTCTGAAAGGATGTATTGAATCTCACAGGTCTACTTACAAAAAGGGACTTTTGCGGTGTTAAGGTCTAAGTAATATTCTAAAAAGGGACGCACAAAACAAAATTCTTGGATAGAGATATGCGTCCATGCACTACACCACACTTTGTGTGCGACATGATATATTCATACTGCAACTGCTTAGTTGCCTAGGAGGGAGTGCGAGCTACCAGATTATTTATACCTTGTAATTCTTTTGAATAGTATGAGCTACCAGAATTTGCTATTGCTTAGGCTTTATGGGAATTTTTACATGTAATGCTACTAGGTCATCCAAAGTTTATCCTGATATTCATCGGACGTTTCCTATTCATCGATTTTGGAGAGCTTTATCAATTGATTACTGTTCATAACATAACCTTATTTATTTTGCAGCTATATTTCAATCCTGCAACCGTGAAGATGCTCAGCAATTTGAAGGTACTATTAGTTTCATAATATTTATTATCGGTATCTTAGTGATGTTAACGATCATTTCATGACTTGCTTAGCCTTGCTTTTGCCCGGGAATGCCTACTATCTTAAACCTCTTAACAACAATATTCTCACTTATTTTAAATAAACATAAACATAACCTAATAGCCTGGATACCCTAAGGGATTGTGATACAGTTGAAGACTGTCACCAATTCCTCTATGTGTTAGGCGCATCAATATTATCTGGACTTACTACTCAATAAATTAGAGCATACTTCAAATCAACAAATAGGCATCAATTTATTACTTATGTACATATATCTTCAATGCATGAAGATGGAATGCGCACATTGTTTTCAAACCTTATTTTGAAACAAAGAGAAACCAAGAGATATTAACAACTTGGTAGGACTTAATTTCTCACTTCATACTTAACTTATAAGAGCCATAGCAAGGAAGAGTCCCTGAACCATACGAAGTCCAAAGGGCAGACCAGAAACTTACTTGATCCCAAGGTCGCATATCCATACCTACTCCTGAGTAATCCAAAAAAATCTTTCTATTCTGCTCAACCCAAAAAACTGCCAATACCCTGCAATTCCGAAGACTTCTACCTTTCATGTTCAGTGGTTTCTTATATGTTTATATACACAAGCCGTTTTGGAATTTATCTATAGGGATCCCTCTTAATAGGTTCTCTGTCTCTCCCTCTCCCTGTATATATATATATATATATATATATGATATGGTTAACTGCGAGAATTTGTGATATATGCAAAAAATATATGTACTACAAAAAACAAATACATATATTGCAAAGTTGTGGCTAGCTGAAATGAGATTTATGATTTTAGTACAATAGCTTATTTTCTGTGGCAATGTGTTGGTCTTTCATGTAAAATATTTAGGGTATGTGAGTGTATCGCTTTCGTAACAAACCTGTTTGAGTAACCCTTCTTTGGTCCTTCCACGCCTATGGTTCCCACATCTTCATTTTGAGCTGGTTGAATACATCTGGCGAGGAAGATATTTTTCCCAGTGCTCAGTGGTAGGACTCTTTCTGAAACAGGTCCTCTTGGGGGGAAGCTTCTGCATTATGCATTTACTTCCTACAATCAGTCTCATAAAAGATGCATTATTCCAGCCTCTTGAAACTATTGTTTTCATGCCTTCTCTCTTCAATTTTACTAGAGCAATTAAAAAATGTTTCATGGACAACCAACCCAGTGTTAGTGGCATGAGATGTCTGACATGGTGACCTCAATGAAAAAAATACCCTGCACACTGGTGTTGGTTCCACAGGAGTTGCTTGCCATGCATATTTATTGGGCTTGAAAAGATATGCTAAGATAGTTTTTGTTTCACTTAGTTTCACCTGTAGAAATTCTGCTGTTCGTTTTAACAAATTTGATATATTCTTGTCTTAAATTAATCAGTTGTTAAATTTCTGGAGTTTGATGGACATGCAGGTGTTGGTGATTGCTGTTTTATTGAAAATGATAATGAAACGTCGATTTTCAATAATTCAGGTTAGTATCCTAGTTTCTTAGTCTTTTGAGCCAGAAAAAGAAGGAACTTTTACTACTTGTACGTGTATGTTCTTTTCTGGTTCCTACTAGGTGGGGGAGGGGGGAGTAGTCACTTGTAGAACTTTGGATGAACTTATTTGAACATAATCCTTTTGATGCTATGCTTTGTTATATGGTATCAAACTGATATTACTTTGATACAGTGGGAAGCCCTTGCTTTGTTGCTCATCGGGATTAGCGTAAATCAGTTGCGATCTTTACCAGAGGGTTCCACTGCTTTAGGTCTTCCAGTTTCAACAGGCGCATATGTATACACATTGATCTTTGTAAGTGATTTATGATATTTTGTTGTTTTTACTAGTGAATGTCATGCTGTTTAACATGCGCCTTTAGGTTAATAACTATATCATCATGTTGACTTATCTTAGATTCATTTTATAGGTAACAGTTCCATCCTTGGCCTCTGTTTACAATGAGTATGCTCTGAAGAGCCAATATGACACTAGTATATACCTCCAGGTGAGATATAGGATTTTATAATTTTCTCATGAAAGTAACTGGTGTTATTATTATAGAATGTTGAGGAATTGGTTTTCTAAAGGTAGCAAATGGCCATTTGCTTATGTACTTGCAGTCAGTGATCTAGTACCAATTTGGATCTTGATTACTGTTTTATGATTTTATTTTGGGTGGAGCTATCTATTCTGTTTCTCTTAAATTTACTGATTGGTTTATGGATATGGTTGGGCTTGGGCTGGAATTTGCAAATGATGAGCATGCCATATAATCTCTTGGTAGCTTAGGTTATACCAAGAAAGTTGGAATATTGGCAAAATTTCTAAGGAAAATAAGGCCTTTTGCCTCAAAGTTCCGGTATTTCACTGTTGTTGAAGCTTGTTGACAAGCTGGCAACGTATCGCTGAGATGTCGGCGATAAGGTGGAAGGACATACCCTTTTCCACTTGTTTTGGTTTCTATGCATGTCCTCATCTAAGATCAATTGCCTCAGTGTGAACCTAGAGCTTCATAAACATATCTTAGCAGCTTTTATCTCAATTTTCTCATTGTTTATACTTTGTTAAATTCATGTTTGGACAGCTATTGAAAACTGAGAAATATAAGTCATCAATTTATCTTCTTCATTTGAAGTTATCTTTTGGCTGTGCAGAACTTATTTTTATATGGATATGGTGCTATATTCAACTTTCTAGGAATATTGGTAATGGCCATTGTCAAAGGTATGAACTACACTTTGTTTATTTGTTCTTGCAGAGAAATCAGTTTATTTATTTATTTTGATGAATAAAAAAGTCTGAAAGAAAGTCCCATGTACAGAAGTAGTACGCAACAATTTGAGAGCATAAAGCAAGTATAAAATCGAAAAGCAATGAAAGGGACTTTCATAGCTCAGAATGCCACCTATAAACATAATCCTTCAGCTATTTAAGATGGTCCACTGGCTTTGGTAGCTGTTTGTTTTAATTTTCTATTTAACCACAAGTTCTAAAGTAAAAACTGAAGGGTCTATTCACGAAATCTCTTTATTAGATGCTTTCAAAAATCTGCTGTGTCATCCTGAGATCAAAGCAGTAACTGATCTTGGCACCTGGAAGAAACAATTAACCCGAAACAGAGAAGACAACTCCTCACCTTTTCCAATCTAAAGGGTTTTTCTTAGAAAAAGATGAACTTCGCTTTTGTATGCTTCCTTACACTTATATCATCCATTTACATGCCCTTACTCTCTGAATAAAATTATGCACCAAGTCTTCTTAACAAATGCCACCACTTTGGGGGTTTTTATTCTCCAAATTTCCTTCCAAGGGGACAGTATGCATTTAAACCCTAGTTAGAGAACGTTAAGATAATTTGTAGACTCCAGTTCACTATACTTCCCATTCCTCACAAAGAATAAAAAATGCTATCACTGTTACCTCCAGCTACTGAGAACTAACTGAAAGCAATATTCAATGGTCAGATTCAAATTTATTGACTCTAGTAGCACTTGTACTTATTCAAGGAAGTCATATTGTTAGTTATATTTTTCCGATCCATATAGTTTTGGAATATAATTATTGTTTAATATAGTTGAATGGTGTAAGAGGGCCATTTCACGAATAAACTTCTTCATTGCGCTTTTGCACTGGTATTTTATGATGGAAACTTGGGAAATTTATTGTTGTAAATGGGTGTTTCGAGTCTAACCTCATGTTGTATGAATGTTCCAGGCCCAAGTAGCTTTGATATCCTTCACGGTCATTCAAGAGCTACAATGTTTCTGATAGCTAACAATGCAGCACAAGGAATTCTGTCCTCTTTTTTCTTCAAATATGCAGGTTAGTTCTCCGCAATAGCATCTTCAGGTGTAGGTGTCATGCCAATTTGTGTATGGACACATTTGCTGTAATAAAGGGATTGCTGCCGGGAATGAGAGCAAGATTCTTTTATTCAGCTTCTGCTTTCATTAACCATCACTTTTTTGTTAAATTTCATTTTTCTCGTCACTCTTCATTGAAGATGTTATTCAATATTTTCAGATACGATTCTAAAGAAGTACTCGTCCACAGTGGCCACTATCTTCACAGGCATAGCATCTGCTTTGCTGTTTGGTCATAAATTGACTATGAACTTTGTTTTAGGAATTTCTATTGTCTTCATCTCGATGCACCAGGTAACCTAATAAATGAACTCTCTTTTTTTCATTAGTTAATAAAGAGAATGAGAGAGTTTCAACACAAGAAAATGTGTAATTAAAAAGAGCTTTCTTTCTTTTTCTTCTTGTTCTTCTGATTACTTTGTGGGGTGACCTTTGTTTGTATCCATTTTCTATTTAGTTCTTTTCTCCCATTTCGAAAGTGAAAGAAGAGGAACAAAATGGGAAGCTAGAAATGATAGATGTCGATGATAAACACAGGTATCTGCTCTTTCTTTTTGCTCATTTCGGTCATATAGGATAGTGGTGTGGCATGGCAGCATTAGTTGGGAGTTAAACCTCCTTGTTCAGATGCGTACCCACTTGCTTGTACATGTTACTGTGTTCCTGTTGTGTGCTTGACAGAAACACCTAGTCAAGCACTAAACCATTGATATTGTTAGGCCTAACAAGAATAGGTCACCAAGGAATTAACGTTTTGAAGAACTTTTTTACTTTTGATACTTCGCCATTTTTATAGTATGTACTTATGATACTTGGTCATTTCTACAGTAATAATGTAATATTTGAGGCACACCTAGAGTTCTGATTCCTGCTTTGAACAATTGATTCTCTAGAAGGAAATTTGATATTTGAAATTTGGTGCCACTCTTTCATGTCTACCCCCGTTTTTTTTTTTTTTTTTGGGTGCGAAGGAGGGCTAAAGCCCAAACATGTCGACCCCTTCATCACCACTTATACCTCACAATAAATAGATCAAGAAAAAAGAAAAGGAAACATGGAGCCTCCAGTACGAGTTTTGGGGTTTGGGGTGGTTGGGTCAGAGGCTAGTTGTTATTATGAAGGAGAAATTCATGGAAAAATAATTTGTTTCTTTTTCTTCATGATGGTAACTAATGTAGATGCTTTTCTTGATTTAGGTCAAAGGATTCCTTTATCAATATGGCAGCAGGGGCAAATGAAGAGGTTTAGATTTGCAAATAACTTTTTTCCTTTTAAATATATATATATATATATTTTAATTTCTCACTCTTTTCTTATAAATGTACCTTTTCCAGGCTAGTCACCGAGTGGGACCCGATGAAAGACAGCCGCTTTTACCCACCTAAAGTTAATTGGAGTATGTTGTTGTTCTTTAACTATTTATTGTTTGCTATATGCATCTACTGCATAATCTATTTAACCATGTTGAGCGAAAAAATTACCAACGCCATGTTGAACAACAATTAAATTGGAGTAGTCTTTCTTACAATTTGCAGCAATTAAAATAGCTGTCACATCCAGTAACCAATTAGTAGGCCTATAGATCTTGGAAAGGCTACACTGTGCAATTTGTGTCTTATGAGACATCCACATTATTTTTGGTCGGTCGGAAAAGAACGTTCCTTTTGGTCATAAAATGTCAACCTGAAATTGGCATAACTGGGTTTTTTTCTGTACATAATCAGGCTTTGTTTTTTGCTTATTGTTGTTGTTGCAGGTTGGTTTATTTTTTCTTTGAAGGAATTCTTTTGGCAGGAATTAAACAATACAAGAGATAAGCAAGGTTCCTCAAACATTCAATAAATTAATCTGAGAAGAAATACTTTTCTACTGTTTTCGGGGATCCCTTTCCTGTGTCACAGGGTTTCCCTAAGTTGTGTAAAGCAATTTATATAAACGAATTCGGAGTATACATGCCTTTGAGTGATCCCAGTTTTTTGGCTGCAGAAGATTTGGAGAGAGAGATAAGCAACATGTCCACAGTGATTTAGTTCCTTCCTTCCTGCACTTTATCTACCAATGTGATTTGTATTAGCGTTCTTTTGTATTCTTTACGTTGGACCACATAGATATTTCACCCCAAATCTCAATTTTTGTATTTTTATTTTATTTTATACAGACTTAGATTTTGTTTTGGTAAGGAACACCTCATTCCCATTGCAATCAAACGTGTTTGAATTTTTTTCTTTTTCTTTTCTAGTGGAATCTGAGACATGTTTTATTGTTTTATTATGAGGAAAAAACTTGGCTCTTTAAAATTGAGGAGTCCCATTTTTGGTTTGTTTAGGTAATACATCAATTTTTGGTTTGTTATAAGAAATCAAATATCGCGATGGTTGACCCTCATTTTAGGCCACCAACATCTAACTAGGATTGTGAATCTTATGCAGTCGTATAACGTCCACCAAAAGGAATGTTAAAATGTCTTTGGATGTGAGTGAGTTCTTGTGGTTTCAAGGGCCATAAGCTCAAACCAGGTGATGTTTCTTGGAGTGAGAATATGGTGATATGGAGATTCCTTGGTTGTGTTTTGGAGATTCCGGTTAGGTCCTTACATCACATGAACAATGGGGAAGTAATACTCAGAATGTCAGGCAGATGGATGGATTTCGTTTCGGAAGGCTATTTCACATGCTTTCTTACTTTGTTGCACAAGAGCATTTGATGTCGTCTGTTCTCTACCATGACAATATATCAAAACTAAGAGTCCTAGGTAAGAGATACTCTTCCAAATAATGATCTAGCTCTGGTTTAACAAGCTCACCACTTGAGTTGAATTAGAAAGTAATTTTGAATGAATGACAAACTGTTGGATTAGGAATTTCCTCTGGATTATCCAATACACTATTTTATGCATCTTGATCTCTCAGGTGTTTTCTTAAAAGCATTTTGGTATGGCTACCATGTTGAACTACTAGACGTTCACTTCTAACCAGCCAGTGTTTTCAGTTGGTTTAATTGATCCGCATCATCCAAGGATGAGTAGAACCTTTCTATTGCATAAACATTTCTTGGTGAAGTAGGTTCCAACCGTTCATACCAAACTTGGATGGTATTTCCTTCAAGATTTGGAAAAGAAGCTGTCTATGTAGACCAATTGGAGTACCACATTTTCTAGAAACCTCTCTCACATTAGATAGAAACTACTTTATTTTTTTATTTTTTATTTTTTAGTACAAGCCATAGTCTAAATTTAAAGGGGAGGAGGATTTATCTCAGACACTCAACTAAAATGTCATGGGAGTTTGAACCTAAGACCTCTTATTTGCAAGTCATGATCCTTTTTCACTGATGTTGAGACCCAAAAAATATATGGTTGGACCCGAATAAATAATCAGCCCAAAACGACGATCCATTAGGAAAAAACGTAAAGCAGAGTGCACCGAAACCCACCACATGCAAATTACAATTCACGTGCCACACTAAATAGATAAATTCGCTCAAGGTTGAGATAAAATATACCGGGTTTACAGGCCCATGCAAAAAATAAGCATCGCAGGACGATAAATTCAAACATGCCAAGCAATGTGTCATGCCAAGCACAAAATCATTATCGCACACCCAACCACGCTACAAGTCTAAGTGGGCCCAAGCCACTCAAAAAACCGGGGCTTGCTTGAGTGGGTTGTGGTATGGACGATAATAAATCAACATGAGCCCCATTGATGGGCCAGAAAAATGGAAAGTCTCGGGTTACTTGGGAGCCTCGAGACTCAAGTCCATTTCTCAGGCCCAAACATGTGGGTAAGCACAAGAGAGAAAAGTAGCTCAAAAGCCCAAGCAAAATAACCTAACCAAAAAATGACCCAACCAAAAAAATAAGCCCAATCAAGAGGCCCAATATTTCACAAAAAGCCCATTTGCTTAGGAAACCACCTTGGCCCTTATAAAATCCCAAAACAGCCCACAAAAGCTTCAGTTCTTTTGAAAAACAGAAAACACGTGAAGGAGGAGGTTGGCAGACTCAGCAAGCAAAGCTGCTGGGAGCAAGTTCCAAGCCAGAGACGCCCAAAGAACCAAGGAATGCTGGCCTGCACGCTGTCAAAAGCACCCCTTGGACCAGCATATATTTTAAATTCCTTTCCTTCATCAGATTTAGCCAAGGCAGGGGGAAGGAAAGAAGAAAAAACAGTAACCAAGAAGGGAAACTCCCACTGCGCAGCTGCGGGAAAGGGGGACATTGAGTTCCCAAATCTCCTGAATTCAAGCAAATAAACAAAGGCAATTTTTGCCAAGATAGGGAAGTCGGAGAAGAGGAGGAGAAAGGAGGAAAAAGCTTAGCCAAAAGAAGTAGAAGCCATTAGGGTTTCTTGAAGAATGGTGATTTCCAGCAGCTATAAATTGAGGCTTACCCTACCCAACAGAGGCAACTCAAAAAAAATTCAGGGAGCAAGCTTTCTCTCTAACTTGCAAAAATCTAACTACCTCGTGCACTATTCACCTTCTTCTCCAATTTGTTTTTCTAGCAGCTGCCAGAAGAACTTTGTCTTTCTTTTTCCTCTTTCCCCAGTCAAAATTCCTTACAAAACTCCTCATTCCTTACCTTAATACTTTCTTTTCTCATAAACCAAGCCTAATCTCTCTCTTAGTGCTAAACTTATGTTGGTTTTGTTCCCATGCCACATGCCACTCATGCTAAGCTAAAAGACTATCTGAAAGCATGCCAAAATCATCTGTAAGTCACCATCATTCTAATCGGTGAAGATAGCCAAAATATCTCCTAAGATCTTACTACTCTTTCGAGGTATTTTGGGACTTAATTTTCGAACCCAGGCAAAGGGGACAGTCTCCTCAGTCCACCCTTTTACAGCAGCCCAGCCCATTAGCTGCAGGAAGAAAAAGTCCCCCACATAAATTGGAGACTCTGCTGGGGATTAAACCATTATCTTCATCAATGCCTCCAAGAAAGAAGACCAGAAGCAACAACATGACTTCCCAGGATGGGCCAAGCCATGCTGACTCAGAGTCAAGGCAACATGCCTCTTCTAGAGAAGAAGAACGTGCAAGTGAGGGAACTTTTACCCTCACAGACCTTGTTGTAGTCATTCATGCTATGGGTGAGACCCAGAGGGAGATGGCTGAGATGATAAAAGAACTCAAAAATTCGGCTCCAAAGCCAAGTGAAGTGAATGAGAAACACCCACAAGAAGAATCTGCTGCTACCGGAAAGGAGTCTGAGCAAAGAGGACCATCTTTTGTCACTCAGGAGGACGTTGTTGCCATGCTGGAAAAGGAGCTGAGTCGAAGTCAGGAAGATTAGAAGTATCTTCCTCAGCCGCCGTACCCATCAAGCTTACTCCAGCAGCCATATCCTAAAGGTTATGAAGCACCAACCTTTGTCCTCTTTGACGGGAGGAAGGGGAGCCCAAAGGAGCATGTCAATCGCTTCATTGATGCCTTGGGACCATATGCTGGTGATCATAATCTTCGACTTAGAGAATTTTCAAAGAGTCTCACCGATCGTGCTTACACGTGGTATATGACTTTGGCACCAGGCTCTATTCACTCTTGGGAAAGCTTGGCAAGCAGGTTTTGTAAGAAGTATTTCCAGCATGAAGAACGAGTCACCACCACTCAACTCAACAACACTCGCCAAAAGCATGGTGAGGATCCTGTGGACTTTGTGTGTAGGTTCCTGGACCTAGCATTGGATTGCTACGATGAGAAAGATGAGGAGGCGCTTGTTGAAATCTGCATCAGCAATATTGTGGCGGATTATAGAGTGTATTTGGAGAATATTGACATTAGTCAATTTTCTCGGCTGCTGGAAACTGTGAGGAAGACAAGCATGTCCGTCAAGCCAACAGGACAAAGGACTTGGAGGAATGAGAAGAAGGAAGCGCATCAGACATTGGCAATAGATGACAAGCCATCCAATGACTATAATTCACGCAAACAAAAGGATAGGGAGACGTATCCACCCTTACCATGCAAAGATGAAGAATTTCATGTTATCATTGACACAATGATTGCTGATGGCGTAATCAAGCCTGTCAGACCCTACAAAATTCCTACCCGAGAGGAAAAGAATGATCCTAGGTGCTGCCGTTATCACCAATTTGTGGGGCATCCAACTACTGCCTGTCAAAGTCTCAGGAGGATTTTACACGCCAAAATACATGAGGGAGTCCTTGAACTTCCCTCTAAGGAACAAACAATTGATGAAGACCCCTTGCCAAAACGAAGGGGAAAGAAGGTAGCTGCTGTTATTACATGCTCCGATGATTTGCTCGATGATGATGAATTGTGCCACCCTTGGAGGAATGACCCGAAACCGCTGGAAGCTATATGGGAACCTTGCGGAAACATGGAGAAAGCATATTGGTGTAAATATTCGAGGCCTTCGAGTTACAACACACCATTGCCGCTCGCTGATGGATGGGGTAACAACTCAGACAGCGAAGTCTTTGTTTTGGACATGCCGGAAGAATGCTACTCGGGGGCTTTATCGGGACAGCAAGAAGCAGCTGCTGTGACATTTCATAATCTCACGGAAGCTGAAACAAGCGTGGTTATTTAAGCATGAAACAGGGGCCCACAGCTTCTCAGGTCCTTCAAAGAAACCCGAAGTTCAAATCACTCTTTGACCAACTTGGCTTCGGGCCTCAAGCAAGAGAAGCAGCTGCTGTAGCTCTGATGAATATCTCTGCGGAGTCTAACTCTCACTGCTTTACAGCTCAACCACAAGGGTCATTTTTGGGAAATGACAATGCTATTGTCTTCACGGACGAAGACATGGAAGTTCCATACCCGGACCATAGGAGGCCGCTTTACTTGGAGGGACAAATCAATGATGTGTTCATAAGGAGAGCTTTGGTAGACATGGGTTCCTCTGTCAACATATTAACTCTGTCTGTGCTTACGGCAGCTGGTATCCCATTGTCCAAAATTGTCCAATCACAAACAAACATCAGCGGTTTCGAGAATAAAAGTAAGGTCACAGTCGGGCATCTGCAAGTAAATTTGAAGGTTGGGCCAATTCGGTCACTTACTAAGTTCTATGTCGTGGATGTGGATGTAGCTTACCATGCTTTGCTTGGGAAGCCATGGCTCAACAAGCATAAACTTGTGGTCTCTACCTATCATCAATGCGTAAAAGGAAGAATTGGGCTGAGGCCACTACGCATACTTGGGAATCAAGCACCGTTCAACAAGGATG